AGCACTAAATTCATTTGTAGCCTTTTCTTGTAGCTCAGCCTGATGCGTTGCTAGCTGAGCCCTAAGTGCTACTACTTCTACTTCTGCTTCTTGGTTCTGTGGAGGAGCCCTAAATTCATTTCCAGCCTTTTCTTGTAGCTCAGCCTGTCGCTTTTCTAGCTGAGCCCTAAGTGTTTCTGCTTCTGCTTCTGCTTCTTGGTTCTGTGGAGGAGCACTAAATTCATTTCTAGCCTTTTCTTGTAGCTCAGCCTGACGCTTTTCTAGCTGAGCCCTAAGTGCTTCGGCTTCTGCTTCTTGGTTCTCTAGAGCTTGCATTCTGGACATGGAAAGCACAATAAAAGAGAAAAGTTAGGAAGTCTTTGTGGACAAGGGTTACAAAGACTTTTATGCTATGTAATATACTTGACCATAATGCCATACCTCAATTCATTGATTTCATACTCTCTCAAATTTCTGCGAGGACTGTACCCTCCAACATCCCCATGTGTCCCCTCATCATTTAAATGCCCACTAAGCTCCTTCTCCATCCGGAGAGCCTGATTGCTTGATTTTTCACCACGAGCAGCCCTTTTTTCATATTTAGCCTTTTCTTGTTGCTCAGCCTGACGCTTCTTTGCTAGCTGAACCTCAAGTGCTTCTGCTTCCGCTTCTTCTTTTTGGTTCTGTGGAGAAGCCCTAAATTCATTTGTAGCATTTTCTTGCTCCTCAGCCCGACCCTTTGCTAGCTCAGCCCTAAGTGCTTCAGTTTCATGGTTCTGTGCAGCAGCACTAAATTCATTTGTAGCCTTTTCTTGTAGCTCAGCTTGATGCGTTGCTAGCTGAACCGTAAGTGCTACTACTTCTACTAATACTTCTTGGTTCTGTGGAGGAGCCCTAAATTCATTTCCAGCCTTTTCTTGTAGCTCAGCCTGTCGCTTTTCTAGCTGAGTCCTAAGTGTTTCTGGTTCTGCTTCTGCTTCTTGGTTCTGTGGAGGAGCACTAAATTCATTTCTAGCCTTTTCTTGTAGCTCAGCCTGACGTTTTTCTAGCTGAGCCCTAAGTGCTTCGGCTTCTGCTTCTTGGTTCTCTAGAGCTTGCATTCTGGAAATGGAAAGCACAATAAAAGAGAAAAGTTAGAAAGTCTTTGTGGACAAGGGTTACAAAGACTTTTATGCTATGTAATATACCTGACACTTTCTCTCTCAGCCTTGGCTCAATAACAATGCATTGAATAAATCAAACATTTTCGTACCTCAACGAATTCTCTCTCAAAGTGTGCCCTCCAACATTCTGACGTGTACGCTCGTCATTTATACGCCCATCAAGCGCCCTCATCCTCCGGAGAGCCTGATCACTCGATTTTTCAGCACGAGCAGACCTACGTGCATTTCTAGCCTCTTTTTGTAGCTCAGCCTGAAGCTTTGCTAGCTGAGCCCTAAGTGCTTCTGCTTCTGCTTCTTGGTTCAGTGGAGCTTGCAGACGTCTTCGATGTTGCTTTCTAGAAATGGAAAGCACAATAAAAGAGAAAAGTTAGAAAGT